TCGCCCACCCGTTCAGAGAGTTTTGACTCGATCTCGACCCACCTCTCCTGAACGGGCTTACCGGTGCCTGTGGCTTCGTGGACAAGCGCGACCTGGAGGAGATCCCTGGCCACCTCACAGTACCGTCGTTTCGCCAACGTTTCTTCTTGCTGGCGCGTGCTTTTCGTGTCCGCCCTTTTTCCATCTGGTTCTGTTGTAGACTTCTCCTTACGTCTGCTTCGTTTAACTGCCACAGGCTTCTTGGTTGGTTTTGAAGTAAGGTATCTCCTGTACTCCTCAACCACCTCATTACACCTGTGAGTGTCTTCCTCATCCTTGGGGTGTACAGTACCAGCCGCTGCATTCTTGGCAATCTTGTCAAGAATGAAGACAGCCCTGTTGTACCTCGACTTGAGCGCCACCCCCGAGGACTTGGTTTTCCTCCTTTCTTGCTTTGGAGTGCTCCCTGGAGCACACAACGCTGCGTTTGAGGAAGATGGGGTATTGTTGGGATCGCTAGGTTTGGCGCTCACCGGTATTGTTATCGAGGAGCGTGCAGAGTCCCTACTGGAAGCCAGGAGCACATCCTTCTCTGCGCTCAGGATGTCTTTCGAGACATCTCTTCTCTCATCGAATTTTGTGTTTTGTTTTTTTGTTTTTATTATTGTTTTTGTTCATTATTTTTTGTTCCCACGAGTATGCTCGGAAGGGGTGGTCCACCCCGGCAGAGCCGGCATACCATGGTAAGGCACTTATACAACCGACCGTGCCCGGGCATCGGAGGGGACCGTTAGCGACTAGTTCTTTAACCACTACTGGCCAGTCATCCATCGGCTCGGGTACCTCAACACCACTGGCTTAAAGTGCTTTCCAGAGGAGGGAAAGGGGGAGCGTGGTCGGCAAAATATAGGTGGGGTGATAGGTAAGGGGGGGGGGCGGTTAAAGGAATCGGTTGGGTTTGGAAAAGGGGTTTACGAGAAAAATAATTTTAGGAACACTCAGAAGACAAACGTAAAGAAAAAGTAATAAACAATTGAACTGTAAATTTAGTTATCAGTTTACCGTTCAATCCATTTTCGCCCATTGTCGACTACAGCCAGGTTTTTACCTTTCTTAAATGGAATTACTTTGAAGTTAGCGAGAATAACTTGAAACAGAACCGGATAATCCACATATTCACATTTTTAATTATGAAAATTTACAAATTATTTTGCTAGCATTGAGTGTGTGATTTTATATGTAGTATATACACAGGAAAAAACTTGAAAGTTAGTAGGGGTGGGGGGGGGGCCAATTGTCGAGATAGCATTTCCTGGTACAATTTTTGAATATATGGAAACAAATTTTGAATTTAGGGGGCATCGGGCTTTCCCCCCTTCCCCTACCTAGCTACACCCATGCATGTAGCTTCGTTGTTTTCCTGCTAACACTTTGTATTGAAGGTGTATTTCAATACATCCTACCAATCTGTGAAAAACGCCTTTGTAAATTAAAGTAACGATATGTAGGTGTTTCTTGCATACAATTTAAAATAAAGAGCTTTAGCCGAATCTAAATTCTGAAGGCAAAAAAGGTGTACGATTTATAAGATAATGCTTGACATGTACTAATAACTAGCTTTACTCACTTCGCATATATTTTTTTGCAATACTATTTGCGAAATTAAACGCCTACTCTCCTTCTGTCCAAAATATCCCTCGATAGTATGTGGCAACAGAGCAAATAGTTCCTCTCCATTCAATTTGCGGAGCTTTGCTACAATAACATCCGAAAAACCTTTTATGCGCAACCATTCTTCCACTTCTTTTGGTGTTGAATACTGATTTATGTGTACATTGGGTGTTGTCAATATTTCAAGGTCCCTGCGTCGTTCCCGCTGATATAGAGTAGCCCTTAATTCTTCATTAATTGTGCCTTGCATTATTATTAGCCCATCATTCGTTTCGTTATCATTCCGAGCGCGCATTGCTGAAATATACATAAATGAAAACATATCGCCATCTGAGTGGAAGATCGACCTATCTCGGCCGCCAGTTCGAAAACGCTCTATCTCAGAAAACTTTTAAAGAACGCCCTACTACTTTTTGATTGAAGGAACGCCAGATTTCAGAATTTTATTTAATAACACCATATCGCAGAATTTGGTCAAAGAACGCCCCATCTCCGAACTCGGTTCAAAAACATCCTACTGCCATGTTCTGAACGACATCAAAAACATGTTGTCGGAGCTAAAACTGGTTTTCGCCCTAAAAATTCTGTGTTCGCCATGTAAAATCTGTCTAACGAAAATCAGTTTTCGATGAAAACTACTTGAAAACTCACGTTCCACTCATTCCAATCGGGGTCTGCACTAGTTTTTTCGATTATTTATCCAAGTGGAAGTCATATTTTATCATCTTTAATATGCCAGTTCGGATTTTTTGTAAATTGGCTGGCCAAATTAAAATAATAATAAAAGAAAAAGGTTTTTAATGAGAAGAAAATTAAAGAAAATTATTTTGGTTTTGGTTTTTTGTACCAAAATTGTAAACAAAGGATGTAAGAAATGTCAACGAAAACACTAAAAGCCGGTGTGAACAGCCTTCAGCCCACAATCTCAAAACTTGTTTTCCAAGTTTTTTCGTTGTCGGTCAGAACATGGTATATCCAGCTGAAAATACATTGAAAACGTGCTGAGAGAGGGCAGTTTTGAGCCGAATTCTGAGATAGGGCGTTCTTCAACCAAATTCTGAAATAGGGCGTTCTAGAAAAGTTTTCTGAGATTAGGCGTTTTCGAACTGGCTGCCGAGATAAGTCGATCTTCCACTTAAGTGTCGATATACAAAATACACACTTAATATGTAGGGGTTGGAATCACTCAAAAATTTAAAATGTGCGCATATAACATGTACCCAAAACAATAAACAATATAAACAAGTAAAATATGCAATTAAAAATATTTTCCTAATATTTTATTCCTGGTAGAAAATAACAACACGTGTATTTTTACAAGAAAATAATGAAAACAACTCACTTCAAAATACAATACATATATATTTATGTAGGAAATTAGTTTATAATTAAACAGACAGTTAAAATCTTGTGTAAATAGAAATATTGACAGTTTAATAGTAGTTCAAATGAATGGTGGCTGGGTTTAAGTGCATTGACACTCTAGTGACCAGCAATTAGCAAATTTATCATTTTGGTTCCACAAGTCGTGCAACCTATAGAACCTGTTCAACCTGTATACGTAACGCTCGTATCTTTTTCGGTCAAAAAACTGTAGTATATTGCTGCGCAAAAATCCCGTTTCGCAGTATCTCCATTTAAAAATAAAAGCATGTTTTACAGTATATTACAGAAAAAGTTTTGCACTAAATTAAAGGATTTCTTGGTATGCAGTGGCGCAGCCAGGGGGGATTGGGGGATAATCTCCCCCCCTCGTCAGTGAAATGAAACTTTTTATTTTTGAATTAATAACATAATACTATTTTACCCCTCCGATTTATAATTTTTTTTATTTCAGACTGATGACAAGTTGTCTTTTAATGAATATATAAAATTATCGGTTGGTGGATTATGTATTTGAATATTTGCGAAATACACTACGCCATTTTGCTTATATACAAAAACTGTTCTTTACGACTCTAAATTGTATCGATTTTTTAATTTCCTCATATGCATGCATGCATACATAGATTCCCTTCAAGACCAAAGCTTTGATGGTATTCACGGGAAAGTTTATGTAGGTACATTTACATATTTTACACTTTTAACATAAATGTCAAGGCAGATATTTTAAGAAACACTTCCTAACAAACAAATTTTTTAAAGTTATTATGAATGGATAAAAGAGACATCTTCTTTGAATTCAGTACTAAAACTTGACATTTCAAGTGCTTATCAAAACTTTATACATGTTAACTAGATTGGCCATTTATCTTAAAATTATATGATTTTAATTATTTGTTTATAAAAATGCAGTTTACACTTTAACAAAACCCGTATAAATCCAAGGCTTAATCTTTGCGCAACATTAACAAAAGCAACAAACTTTCGTAAAGCTTTTTAATTAGATTTCCTATAAATACATATTTTGAGTATGCAGTTTTGTAGCCCGATCAATTCAAGTAAAGCGCAAGTTTAAAATACATAGCTGCAACTTATCGTTGATTTTTAAAATTTTTTTTTGATGAAGGCGTTGCTCATTTTCTTCATAAAAAAAAATCGTCGAACATACTTAGATAATATGGAAGAAAACTACCGATATCGTCAAAAATATGCCATACATAAACTGTACTTAACATGTAACGCTGACACTGTGCTACTTTAAATTTGCACTTTATTACACTAAAATTGAATGAGCTGAAAAACTGCAAAATATTAAGAGATAAAATTGAAATAGAAAGTTCGAAAGGTTTACGAAAGTTTCTCGATTTTTTTTTTAATGTTGTTCAAAGATTAAACTTATTTTCATTTAGTGTTTGTTAAGGAACAAACTATATTTTTATAAACAAATAATTCAAATTAAAATATAATAAAATAAATAGTCAAATCTAGTCAATATGTGAGGGTCGTAAAGTTATGATATTTAAGAACATCTCTTTCTTAATTAACGCTGACACTGTTTCTATATGAAGCTGATTTCAAAATTTTGTTTTAATACAATTTAGTATCGAACATATTCTTTCAAAACTTGCCTAGGAATGTGATATAATGGTTGGTTTAAGACCTTTTTTCAAAACTTATAAAGGCAAAAACGAGAAGGCGAGGACAAAAAGAGAATAAAAAAATTTCCCGCAGTGAATTTTCAGATTTTTAAAACGGTGTAGTAATTTAATTTTTTAAATTTAAATAAAGCATTAATACCCCATGGAATAAACGGGTAGATAAAAAATATATAATATAATATTTTTCATCCCACCCCTACCCCCCACGAAAATATAGAAAAAAGGTTTTTTCTTAAAAGCGGTCGTCCCTCGGCAGGCAATGGCAAACCTCCGAGTGTATTTCAGCCATGAAAAACAGCTTCTCATAAAAATACAATCACCGAGTCGGGGTAAAACTGTAGGTCCCTCCGCTTTGTGTGACAACATTAAGGCGCTCGCCACAAATCGGAGGAGAAGCTCGGCCAAACACTAACATATGTGTAAGCGCCAATCTAATATTATTATTATAATTATTATGAAAGAAAGGTGACCCCGCCATTCGCGCCAACTACCGCGGGATCAGCCTTCTAAGCATAGGTTACAAGGTCTTATCGAGCGTATTGTGTGAAAGACTGAAGCCCACCGTCAATGAACTGATTGGGCCTTATCAGTGTGGCTTTAGACCTGGCAAATCCACCATAGACCAGGTATTCACAATATGCCAAATCTTGGAAAAGACCCGCGAGAAAAGGATCGACACTCACCACATATTTGTCGAATTTAAAGCCGCTTTTGACAGCACTAAAAGGAGTTGCCTATACGCCGCTATGTCTGAATTTTGCATCCCCTCAAAACTCATACGGCTGTGTAAAATGACGTTGAGCAATACCACCAGCTCCGTCAGAATTGGAAAAGACCTCTCCGAGCCGTTCGCCACAAAACGGGGTTTCAGACAGGGCGACTCCCTTTCATGTGACTTCTTTAATCTGATGTTGGAGAAGATAGTAAGAGCTGCAGAACTGAACCGCTCAGGAACAATTTACTACAAGAGCGTGCAATTGCTGGCTTAAGCCGATGACATCGATATCATCGGTAACAAAAACCGCGAAGTCTGTTCTGCCTTTTCCAAGTTGGATAGGGAAGCAAAGCGCATGGGTCTGGTGGTAAACGAGGACAAGACGAAGTATCTCCTGTCATCAAACAAACAGTCATCACATTCGCGCCTTGGCACCCACGTCACTGTTGACAGTTACAATTTCGAGAAAGTAGAGAATTTCGTTTACTTGGGAACCAGCATTAACACCGATAATAATGTCAGCATTGAAATCCAACGTAGAATCACTCTTGCCAACAAGTGCTACTTTGGACTGAGTAGGCAATTCAGGAGTAAAGTCCTCTCTCGACGTACGAAAACCACGCTCTATAAGTCACTCATCATGCCCGTGCTGGTATATGGCGCAGAAGCATGGACAATGACAACATCTGATGAGGCGGCTCTTGGGGTGTTTGAGAGAAAGATTTTGCGGAAGATTTACGGTCCTTTACGCGTTGGCGACGGCGAGTACCGCAGACGATGGAACGATGAGCTGTATGAGCTTTACAACGATATGGACATAGTGCAGCGAATTAAAATACAGCGGCTCCGCTGGCTTGGTCATGTCGTTCGAATGGACACCGACGCTCCACCTCTGAAAGTATTCAACTCGGAACCCGCTGGTGGTAGCAGAGGAAGAGGGAGGCCTCCACTGCGATGGACAGATCAGGTGGAGAAGGACTTGGCTTCACTTGGCGTTTCCAATTCGCGTCAGTTGGCACAGAGGAGAAACGACTGGCGTGCTTTGCTGAACTCGGCCAAAATCGCTTAGGCGGTTACAGCGCCAAAAAAGAAGAAGAAGAATTATTATGGTCGTTAAAAAATGCAACAATTGTGATTACAACGCGATTCGTTCGGCTGTAAAAGCCATCAGATGATTCATTCTAAATTGAGCTAGGCTGGTTGAAAATGAAAATTACATTACAAATTAGTCAGGAGTTTGAACCGTAGCTTTCCTTCAACGCATAGATTGGGAAGCGTGCTTAAAGGTGACGTACATAGCCTTTTCTTCGCCACAGTGATTGGCACTTGCGCGTCTTGGATCGTGTCAGCAAAATTGGGTAAATGGTATGTACGGCAAATGGCCGCATGTTTCACGCACGCCCAAAAGGTTTGTCTTAACTACTGCCATATATGTGCATACGTGCGTGTGTGGCGACTCTAATCGCACAAGATGTTTGCCACGGTATGACCAGAACCGCGAGGCCACTACTTCACACCGCGGATGGAGTACTCCTTCACTC